ACTTCTTCGTAGAGATCGCGTAGGTATTGCTTCTCTCTGTGTCTGGTGGCTTGAGGAGTGTTGTAAAAACCTCCCTCATAGTAGGGATTTTGATTTATAGGATCCATTGCTTCTGGAATGGAAACAAAATAATCGAAAAATGGAAATATGCAGAAAAGGGGTTCTAGATTCGATTTACCAACCTTTCTTAGGGTTTTGCAGAAAAGAAAAAGCGTGCATTCCCCGGAAACGGCGCCAAAAACTTGATGTGGTGTGTGTCGAGGGTTGTCAAGTTTTACCCTAAATGAATCAATAGCCGCAAGTGCACAGCTGATCGATTGTAGTACTTAGGGATCGAATCCACAGGGAAGGAGGATCTTTCCTACAAAAGCCTTCGAAAGAAATATAAAGTAAGGAAGTCTAGAACCAGGCGATTTTTGTGAGGGTTTTGGTGGTGTGTTTAAAACGTAAAAACTAATCTTAAAGAGAAAATACGGGAATTAAAATGACCTAATAACTAAACTTAACGAAAACGACTAAAAACGAGAAAACGGCTAAACCTAATTGCTTAAGTGAAAATGGATTTAGAGAATGAAAATACTATACTAAAACTTGAATGCAAGTCGGTGTGAATCTATAGGAAAGAAGGCGCGGGGGTTCTGGGAAGTTTTTCTCAGGGGTATGAACGATTCAAAACATTTCTAGTCAATTTGATAAGATCTTAGCTTTAACTTTTTGAACTGGAGTCACGTACGTATGAATACGCCACTGTCGTGATCATAGACAACAATCTCTCTCAACCCTGACTAGTAGGTTTGCATTCTGACCCTGGATGAGAAAAGATGCATTATGTTTAAGACTCGTCAGCATTCACAAATCGCCCATAGGTAGGTTTCCACTCCTATGTTTGTTTTGCTCTCCCAAACTAGATCTGACACCGGATGAACACTTTCGTGTCACCAAGCATCTGGATCAGATTGTAGTTCATGACGCTACTCTCATGCATTAAAAACGAATTCAGAAGAAAAAGTTCTAAGATTCGGCTCAATAGCTCATGGAATCCTCATCGAACATATGTATCCCCATCGAAAACCCCTTAGACCCAACAATAAAACTACTCAGACATGATAAACGAAATCAAAAACATGGTATTAAAAGGTAGAATAGAAACCGAAATCGAAAAAGAAAGAACAAGGGTTCAAGAGATAGATCTCTCTCTCTCTAAAACCTAAAAACTAAGCTTAAAATAAAATTTCTGTAAAGTATTTTGTCTCTCCTCTTCTCCTCCTAAAAACGACCTAAATGATATGTATTTATAGTCTCTAATGCTCTCTGGTATCTAGGATTCCGGAATTGAGGCTGGCAAAATGATATGGGCTTCAGAAATGAGCCTTCGAACTCGGAGTTGCCTGGCCACGGTCAGGATGTGCATGACCGTGGGGAATGGATGGCTGACCGCGGTCGGGATGGTTGTGACCGCGGGGAATGGCCTGTTGGCCACGGGTGGAAACGCTTGCCGGCTGATTTACGAGATATCTTGCTCTTCGCGTATCTTTTGATTGAACCGTTGGATTGCCAAGCTGTAAAGTGTGCTGGAAAGCTGATACTTCCATCTTTGAGATCTCTAAATTTGAGCTGGATCAGACGGTGAGAAGGCCTTCAATCGGAGGTGAACTTCTGACGGTTTGACTCTGAGCTAAAAATCTGGTCTTCTATCCATTTTGTTAAGCTTTTCCCTAAGTTTCCTGAAAAGAGTCTTGGAACTACAAATACTAGAAAAACGTAATAAAAGTACTTGAAAGCAATTAAAAACATAGAAAAAGTATTTCAAAACGGTCCATAAAAGTGGTCAAAATACGGTGTTATCACTCTTCCGGAGCCCATATTAATTTTTGCATTACCAGATATTGTATTCACGCTTCCGGCAGAATCTTTCATTTTAAGAGAGGAGAAATACTTTTTATCTTTTAATATTGTGTGCGTTGTAGCACTGTCTGCAAAGCATATATCTCCATCCTCGATCTTAATCTTTGACGTTTTCTGAATTCAAGATATTCATAGAAGATGAATTAATATAGCAAAACAAAAGAGTTTATATTACGATAAAAATCTTTTTTACATCAAAAGATACATTTTTAAACACTAGATTTTACATTTTTATTTTTCACACTATATATACATCATGTCACATCTTCTTCTTCGGGAAGATTTTACTCCTATTTTTTTCGATATCTTCGGGATCAATCATGAAATCAGAAATATCGAGATTTGTATCATCGTTTATACCATCAAAAGAAAGAGTGGATTCGCCATGGATGAAGTTGGTTTCGCCTTCTTTTCCTTTCGCCTTTTGCAATTCTTGGTACAGATCGGCTAAATGTTTCGGCGTACGACAGATACGGGACCAATGTCCTTTCATGCCGCATCTATAGCAAGCATTCTCATGTTGCGTATTATTCACGCAGCCAACTTCATTACCTTTGAACCTTTTGTTATTTCTTCCATCGTTAAAATCAGTAGGATGGAATCTTCTTCCTCGTCCACGTCCTCGGCCACGTCCTAAACCTCGTCCACGACCATGATCATTTCCTCAACCGCGTCCACGTCCACTTTGCCAATTCTCATGGCTTGATGATGCAACATTCACTTCTGGGAATGAAGCTGATCCATTTGGACGAGTTTGATGGTTTGAAATCACGAGTTCATTATTTTGTTCTGCCACCAAGAGAACTTGCATTAACTCTAAATACTTCTTGTATCCATTTGCCCGGTATTGTTGCTGCATGACTACATTTCCAAGATGAATTGTTGAGAGAGTTTTCTCAATCATATCATGATCACTTATATTTTCTCCACATAACATTATCTTGGAAGTGATTATAAATAGAGCAGAGTTATACTCACTAACGCTCTTATAGTCCTGGAACCAGAGGTTCAACCACTCATGCTTTGATTTTGGTAAAATCACGTATTTCTGGTGATCAAACCTATCTTGGAGTGATTGCCAAACATCTGCAGGATCTTCTTTTGTGATATATTCATCTTTTTAAACCATCGTGAATATGGTGAAATAAAAAGATCATGGCTTTCGCTTTTTTTCTCTTCAGGAGTTGTTTTTGATTTATCGATGGTATCAAGGAGCTGATTTCCCTTTAGATGCATCCTTGCAGCTACTGTCCATCTCATATAATTACTTTCGGATATATCAAGGGAAGTAATCTCGAGTTTTGCCAAATTCGACATGATAACTGTAATCAATATAACAATTTATAAATTTGATTTTAATCCAATTTTAAAATTCTGATTTTAATAAACATGATAAAATTTTAGAATTTATAAACATAATAAAAACTGAATTTAAAAAACTGAATTTAAAATAATAACAGAGAATAAATAACAATAATTAACAATATTTAAAAAACAATAATTTTAATAAATATTCGTCTTCTGGACGAGATGAATTATGCAGTTCTTAAGGAACGCATTTATATATCTTCTTGATATATATTTTTTCTTATAGTTCTTCTAGAACTTCTTTTCATATATGTCTTCGGAATTTTTTTTTTCAAGTATGTTTAATGGACATAACATGTTTTTTTTAGTTTTTCACGATCATAAACCAACCATATATTTGATCTAAGGAGACATAACCTATCATATTATTATGATCGTAAAGGCATAACCTACCATAACGATTGGTTTAAATTAAACATAAATGTAAACGGATAAAACATAAACTAAATCTCACATTTTTGGTATATATATATATATATGTGTGTTTATATATATATATATGAGTGGTGTGAAAGTGTATATAAAGGTGAGTAAGTGGAGAAGGGCGAGAGAGTTATTAGAGAGAGAGGGAAGATTTCTTCTTTTAGTCATGTGTAAGTTACTTCAATTACCAAGAGGGATGAACAATATTTATAGAAGATGTTTTTTTTTTTTTGTCGTCAATTCTTTTTATAACCAAAGCCCAAAGATGGAAGAGTTTACAATACACAAACATAATACAAATTATAACGAGGCCCAACACAAACATAATAAAAATAATAATAAGGTCTAGTACAATCTACCTAAATTGTGTTGCTACGCGTGTAAACATACACTAACCTAAGAACATGTGTGAGACAGAGAGATCATATGAGTGTGTTGTTGCAGCACCGCTCACCATCATCGGAAAAATTTTCACCGACGCATCTATCGTCTACACGCCGCTGCGCCTAGCCACTGTTCCGACATCTTTTCATTTTCCTCCGCTTTGACTCTATGAGCATCTGAAGTTAGTGACTATCACTTCTTCATAAACTCCACCGCCGATCAACCTAACTCTAAAACTTGTCATCCTTTGCCTTGAATAAGGTTTTGTAAAAGGAAACTTGGAGAGATCTATAACTCCCAGTCAAGAGAAGCTGATACCAGAGGTTGAAGAAGGAGAATCCCAACTATTGTCACCTAGGATTGGGCAAAATATCCGTTATATTTGATTCGATCCGTTATTCGTCTCGAAAATCCCAAAATCCAGGATATCCGCTCCGCGCCCACCCCTATTGTCACCGAATCTGCATATCACCATCTTATTGAGAGGAATTCGTCCGCGGAGGAAATAGGGCATAACAAGATCTGGTCTAAGCTGGAATTTATTATCCAATAGACTTGGAAGGAGAATCCGACAAAGCAGAAAATATATTATAACAAAAAAAATTCGGACATGCCGGATTTTTGATCCGATCAAAGATCAGAATTCATAGCTCTAAATCGGTATAAAAGATATAAAAGAGAGAAAAGAGAGAAAAGAGAGTATAGAAGATGTAAATACATAAACTATTGCACTAAATCGGTAAAAATATGTCGGTAAAAATTTGGATAATCATAACATATTATAATATAACTTCTTTTTTTTTTTCAGTTTCTTTTCCAAATTCCCTTTTTTTTGTTTAGCCTAAACATATCCGAATCCAAGGGTAGAAGAATATTCCTTGATCAAAAAGACTATAATGCACTCCTGTTCTCTCCAGATATAAAAATCTACAGTGACCCGATCTAAATCGGGTTTCCAGATTACAATCCAAATTGCGAGAGTCAATGGCATCGTTTTCTTCTCGCAGATATCTTTTCCTTCTTCTTGAAGTCCTCTTCATTACGTTTCTCTACGTTTCGGCATTTCTACCGGAGACCGAAGGACTCGCCGGAGACAACGTCGTCGAAGTCAATCGCTCTCAGAGGGAATTCGATTATTTCGCTCTCTCTCTTCAATGGCCTGGAACTTACTGCCGTGGAACTCGCCATTGCTGCTCCAAAAACGCTTGCTGCAGAGGGTGCGTTTCGTCTTTTTCTTTTCTTCGATTTGGATCGGTCCTTTGTTATGGATGATCATCATCTACATGTAATTTTTTGTTGGGTAGGTAAGGAATCTGATAGATCCAACTCTCTGAGAAATTCGATTAGATGGTAGAAAATGCGAGCTTCATGTTTCATCAAACCAAAGCTGTGTTTTGAAAAGATTTGGCTTTTTAATTTGCTCAAGAATACTTATGTGTTTCTTTTTTTTTTTTCCCAGCTCGAACTCTCCAACTCAGTTCACCATCCGTAAGTCA